TATTGTTATGAAGTTCAACACACTGCATTTAAAGGAATTATTTACCATTTCGTTATTTCGCTTTCCAGCTTTTACATTAAACGCTTCATTCTAGAAAATGCTATCGCAAAACGGTTGGAAATAATAAATGTAACAGCAGAATACGTCCTAACACAGTCACTCGACTAGGAGAGTGATTGTGGTCCTAGTAATAAACTAAGTGACTTCTAAAGACTGAATGGTGTTTGCGAACTTCGTATTAGTTATAAACCGACGTTAGCTTCACGTTTATGTCACACCATGGAAACAGCCAAAAACATGTTGCTTGTTTTTGAGCGGAGTGGATCGCCAACCAGCCTACCGGCTTGTATTAATATAAATTAAACTATATATCTTAAATTTGATAACTAACAGGGATGTGCCATGCATGGCTTTTTTTTATACATGGTGTTTAGTGTGCTGTACATTGTACTGTTTATATCAGTGAATGTGTTTGGCAGCGTTTTTATAGCAAATTTCTGTGCTATATCTGTATAGGATATTACATGAGTGGAGTAAATTTGTTCTGCTTTTGTGCTTTAAGTTACTAGGTCTAACCCAACTAGGGGCAATATTGCCTTGTGGTCAATATCAGGATAACTCATATTGCACTGGGGCAATCAGTCCAAGAACAATGAGTTAGGTCAAATGCAATCAAATGTATTGTAATCAATATGAATTAATGTCCTATTATAGTTGACAATTCATGCACAAAGAATGCTGGTAAAGATGTGGTAGAGAAGGAAGGTGGTAAGAGAAAGCGTAAAAATCGGTGGCTTTCAGAAGAACCAGATTACGTATCAGTTGAGAAGATTGCTGCTACTATGGATGTCAATCCTGCTGGCTTGAAAGGAACAAGTGTCTTATCTGCTGAACAACAAAAACAACTATTAGAACAACAAGAGGTTAGTTGAATTACATTATGGGCTTTTATCATTTATCCCATTCTATTTATGCTGTACACGTTGGTTCTTAAAAACAAGGCTTGGTCATTGACAAATTGCTTGTCATCAAAATATGACAGAAGTTCAAGGAACTAAAGTTGGATTTAACCTAAATATTATAGACATATATTACTTGTAATAAAATGTCTGTCTGTCTGTCTGTCTGTCTGTCTGTCTCAGTTATTTTGACATTATCACTGCAATTAGACATTGCACACTAGATTTGATCAACCTGTTTAATGACAATATATAGTCATGTGACCTCATTAAAAATGCATGAATATCTTATCTGAAGCACTATTGGAGATAAAGATGTTTAACCATTGCTTATTAAAATAAAGATGCCAGGGGATTTGCCAAATCTGACTGCTTCCTTCATTTTATTCCCCCTACATATTCCAATTTAAATCATATAAATTAAATGGTAAAATCCACATGAACATGTCAAATAACAATAAAACTGTTTGTTTTTCTGCAAAATTTCTTTAAACTCAGTGAAATTGCTCAAGGCATTAAAATAGTTACTATTAAATGCCATTGAAAATAAATGCTTTTGCAGTACCTAGTATTAGACAGGAGGGCTATACAGAGTTATTTCTGATAATACAGCAATTGTGGTAATTGTTTTGTGGTTTACTGTTATACTAACCTGCTACACAGATGCAGAAAATGTATCAAGCTATCTTATCTAAACGGCAAGGCAGTACGGCCGGTTCAAGTCATTCAGTAAAGAAACATGGTGGAAAGAGAAGGAACAAATACGAGTATGATAGTGATGAAGATACTGAGGGTGGAACATGGGAACATAAAAAAAGGGCAGAGGAAATGAACATGACTCAAGGTAACAAAATATTTTATTGTGATTTGCAATATTGTATTTTTTCATGATTCTTATTTACCAGTGAACTTTCTCTCATATTTTCCATTCTGAAAATAATTTATGAGAGCTACCTACAATTATGTCATTTGTCACTAAACAGATTTCACAGATATCATGAACTTGGAAGGTTAGTACAACTGAAATCAGTGTCTGTGCCAATCCAAACAGGATATTATTTCCTGGCTGGTTCCCATTTATCTGCATCTTACAGACATGGCATGCATTGCTGAGTAGCCTTGATGGCTATCCAAATCTCTACAAAAGTTGATTTCTTTATCGTGTGTATACGTTTCTTATTGTATATTCTCTCTCTCACTGTGTCTAGAGGAAGCATTTAGACAGACCTCTGTAAACAAAGGCAAACATTTTATTGGGGATTTCCTGCCTCCTGAAGAGTTAGAGAGATTCATGGAACACGTGAAATCTCTGAAAGAAGGCAAAATTCCTGATTGGTCTGATTATAAAGAATTCAAACTGAAGGAAGACAATATTGGTTATCAGATGTTGCAGAAGGCAGGATGGAAAGAAGGAGAAGGTTTGGGTTCAGAAGGCCAAGGTCGGAAAGACCCTGTCAACAAGTAAGTCTAAACTCATCGTGTAACCAAGTCTCTTGATATAAACAAATTTAATTAATAACTCTAACCTAACCGCCAAACTTCATATTATGATTGACTGAAACACAAACTTGAAATCAACGTGTAAAAACAAAGAGATTTAACTTTGGTTAAATTGTTGAAAAACTTCAGCTGTGAACTTGACCACTTAAAACTATGAATTTTTAGCTCCCTGAAATGGATTCTGAATTCATTCATCTCCTTCACTGCATGTCAATGCTCTGTTTGTAGAGGTAAAACCACAATGGACACTGCAGGATTGGGTACTGAGAAGCCAGGTGATCTGCAAGCTGAAGATGATGAGTTTGAGATGTTTAGAAAAAGAATGATGTTGGCTTATCGATTTAGACCAAATCCATTGGTGAGTTTCTCTTCATATATTTATTTGCATTTGTGTAATATTGTATATACATTAGACTTTTCTGGCAGCATATGCAAATAGATTAGTATCCTTATACTCTAAACCCATTCACTGGTTTTTAATATTTCTATTTTCATTGCTAAATAAAATTTGCTAAATTGTTGTTAAATAACAATAGAACGCTTGTTTCTCTGCCAAATTTGTGAACTTGAAACCCAGTGAAATTGCTGAAAGCATCAAAATAGTGAAATTAAATGCCAGTGAAAATAAATGGTTTAATAGCATGTTTTATTTGCCACATATTAACTGCATGAAAGGTTATTCAAATTATGCCTATTCTAATGCTTTGAACCTTACCTATTTTATTGCAGCAATTTACAAACTTGTAAAATGTGTCTTGAAAATCTCATAAAAGTACTGAAGTGTATTTTGACAAAATTCAGTTAAAAGTCTTGTTATTTAGAGTTACCTGTCAAAAAATCAAATCTGAAAGTTATATTGTTTGCTAGTTATACTGAATAAAACCTGATTATTATGCCATTTAAGTTAATATTTTTCTTCACTACAATAAATCCCATTATATATTGCTGGTATTATTATACTTTGAGTGCACATCAAACACCACTGAACTAGGAAATCTGTAATGTTCTCTCCAACACAGTGGTAATACATGTATGAGTAAAATAGCCAGCCTATTATTTTGAAAAGAAAGATATAAAAGTTAATCTCAATAAAAAATAATTCACATCCAATACTAATTTTGTAAATATAGCCCATCCTCGATCGTTGCACAGAAAATCCCATGTGTGATTTGATGGACTGATAAAACTCAATCACAACTGAATCCACAGAATTGCTTGGTGATGTTCGATGATAAACGTTTGATGCAGATAACTTGAAAATATCGTAGCTGTTGCATTCATTAACAGTAGACAGTCCTTGACTTGTCAAAGGCTTTAAATATAATTTTGCTGTCATCAAATAAATATTTAAAACGCAGATCCACAATCTCTGGGACTGCACCAATGTATCATGGCCCACTTATCTTTTGAAATGCATACAAATGTTATCAGATTTTTAATCCTATGTGGTAACATCTTGCTTATATCATTGTCTGCTATGAAAGGATGTATTGTCACTAGTCATAACAGTTAACCTCTAATCTGAATAAATCTGTGATTGACAGTTATTTGGTTGTTTAAAACGTGCCTTCTCATCAACTTTTAGAGGAGAATTCTACTTAAAGTGGGGTGTCATCACCTGTGCATGCTTTAGATGGCTATAGCGTGTCATTGTTTACAAACAAGCGTCCACCCATGAGCATTTGCATTTTAAACATGTGGTGTTATCGTCAGTTGGGACGCATCCGCAGGTGACGACCCTTCAATTAATTTAACATCAAAATTTACTCTACAAATATTCACATGAAAACAGAAAAATACTACTCAGAATAAAAAATATCAATTTGTATACTGAAATCATGTCGTCATGTTTCCTTTTATATGTTTAAGGTAAATTGTGGAAACTGAATGGAATAAAATTTAATCAGATATTTTATCTTTTCCCAACAGAACAATCCAAGAAGACCATACTACTGATGCAGATGTGAAGAAAAGTGTGTGTGTTTGCACATTTCTTTGCAAATTGTAACTTTGTAAGCCTAACATGTCACCTGCTGACACTGCATTTTTACATTTATTTTGGCTATCCATGGAACCTTTCAGCAGGTGATGGTAACAGCAATCCTTGTAAGCATCCCAATCTTACCCTTGGAACAACACAAATCGTACCAGCACCACCAGTCTTACCAGCACAACAACCCTTGTAACTACCAAATCTTACAACAACAAAAACATCACAATCCTAATAGTACGAGCACCACCAACCCCTTGAAGCACCTTTCTCTAACCAGCAGCACCAAGCCTTGTAAACACTCCAATGCTTGTGTCATGCATTGTTTTAAAATGTATATTTCAATAAACTATGACAATCAGTTGAATCAAGGTTGGCTTTATACATTATTAATTTACCATACATATATGTTTTATTAATTATTAGTTTACAGTCAGTATTATTAGATGTATATCTCAAGGAAATCAATATATTTTGTTTATAAATCTATTGATTGCTACTGTATTATTGAAGATTTAACAGTGATCATTAGGACAGTTTAGTCTGGGCACAGATGCTATATTACCTCATTCATTTCAGTTTATAGTATTATTGCAAGAAATAAATAATTTAGCTTAGAACAAAACAAACACAAACAATGCTTTGTGTGCAGTCATCTACAACTTTAAAAGCTAAATAAGCACTATCAGTAAATGCCCTGGTAGTATCAGCATGAATGCTGTAGAACAAATTAATTATGATCTGTTTATTTTGTTTGGGATGGAGATTTTGATCTGCCAGTAATTAATGTAGTATGTAGATCCACTAGTGAATGCAGTAAGTCTCTCGTCTAACACTATCCTGGATAGGAAAATAAGCTGCTGTAACTTTTATGATGAATTGCCAGATAAAATGTGATGTGCCTCTATAACCTTGACTTTAAAATGCTTTCAATGCCTTCCTGTCATGCAAGACAACTTAGATAGAGTTGAAATATTTGTTGCAACTTCTATTGCATAGACTGCAGTGCATTGGTGAAGCATGTGTGCTATTGGTAATAACAATTAGGGGGGGGGGGGGGCATTGCTATGAATAGAATAATGTACAGTTTGTAATCCATTGTCTGCATACCTGAACTCTTCATTATTGGTGCAACACTATAATGTTCATTTTTTATTTGAAGTATTTACTGTATTACCGAGTAATAAAATTTTCCATTCAGTTTATGATTGTGGTCCTATACACTGTTGCATCCTTTATTGTCCATTGCCTGTTGGTCTAGGTACAAATGTAATTGTATGCTTTAGAGTGGGTGACAAAACATATATTTACTAACTTGTACCAAAAGAAACTGGATAAAACTCCAGTCACACTCATAGTCTCACCACATTCTCATAAACACAAATGGTTACTCATGAATCAAGTTCAAGATGCAAGGTCTTGTCTGTACAAAATAAAAGTTTACAAGTTGTACAAGAATAGAAGTTGTGTACATGGTCATTTTATATGTCAGTTATATATATTGAGTATTAATGACGTAACATATCATTACATGTTATGTAGTTTTTCTCGTTTGATATCAAAATGCTTGCTTATTATTAATTGCATGACCAAACGCTGTCATGTGTTAGTCACATGCTTATATTGTCCAACCTGCTTATATGCATATTGATAAAGTTGCCTATAAAATGGCTAATTTATGCAAATAATTAGTAATACTTAATTAGTACGCACAAAATTCAATCCCAACATGCAATTTTTAGGTAATCAGCATGCACAGATTTCAACCCAAAACTAATCCTGTCCCAGAGCATTTACCAAGTTTCATTAAAAGATGATGAGTTAAGATATTTGTAGAAAAGCTGAAAATTGTCACAGTAGTAGTGGGTATGTTGTAACAATGTATGAAGGATCAGAGTAATTTGTAGTAATGTGATAAAACCACAACATCTACACAGTATTAGCCCATGTACCTGCATGTTAAATATGAAGTCAATCTGACATAAAATTACAAAAATTGAGATTTATTAGTCAATCTACACCTTTTGAACAAATTACCATATTTGACCAATAAGGAACCTTCACACCTGAAAAAAAAACTAATAATCCAGTAGTTTGTAAAATAAAATTTTTGAAATAGCATTTCTGCCAAAAAATCACTAAAAATACAAAATTAAAGATAACTCCACCATATGACAAAATCAGAGGTAACTGTATGACAGAGGAATTTTTCAAAAATTATGATTTGGACAAAAAAGTTAAATCAAAGAAAGCTTAGAAAGAACTCCTGTGTGCTGAGAGTATTGGAGACACATTAAAAATTAATTCAAAATTACTTGAACTTGAGATGTTGATGGAAACGCAGAAAACTAATTATGCAAATAAGGTAACTAATGTGAACAGATTTAAGTGTAAAACTAATAAGGTCTGCACAATGTACCAAGTTTCATTGAAATGTGATTAGAACCAACAAAATATTAATTATCATGCTAATTAGAGAATTAATATGAACAGATTTTAACCCAAAATTAATCAGGCTGTCTATTGTTCTAGAGCATTTATGTACCAAGTTCAATCCAATGGGATGATCAATACTTGAGATATCAGTATTAATTAATTATGTTAATTAGGTAATTAAGAAGCATAAATATTTACCAAAAACTAATATGGTGTATAGTCCTAGGTTCATTGAAATGTGATGGGTACTCTTTAAAAGTTTCATTGAAATCCAATGAGTGGTTTTTAGACATCAGTGCAACAGCCATAGTACAGCAAAAAATTAACTAATTATGCAAATTAGGTAATTAATAGGCACAATTATTTATCCCAAAATTAATGTGATGAGTACTCTTTAAAAGTTTCATT